GGAATATGATGGGCCGTTCCGGGTACTTAAAGCGCTCCATATCGATGAGAAAGGTAGAGACGGTGGCGAAGGTGGAGACGAAGCAGAGCACCGACCACAGGCCGATCCAGAAGACGGTGAAGGCGCGCTCATCCTGGCTAAAGAAGGGGTTGTGGCAGGGCAGCGCACAATTGGCGATCTGGCCGGTCTTGACGCGGTTGTAGAGCGGGTGGCGTTCACTGGACACACTCACCATGGGCGCGCGGCACTGGCACCCGGGCTCGCAGGGAGCGGCGCCGCCACCAGGGGGCCTCGTCTTCCCGCCGCGCGAGGAGGGCGCAGCCGCCGGGTCCCCGCTGCCCCTACTGCTGCCGCCACGAGGTGGGGGCCTGGCCCCTGGCGGGCGGCTGTGGCCGCTGCCGGAGGCCGGCTGCTCTCCGGGCGGAGGCGGCGGCGGCAGGCGGCGCGGTGGGCTGGGTGCGGCCGTGGTGAGGTCGGTGCGGTTGTAGTCCATGCACAGAGTGTCGGGGTTGCCCTGCTCGGGCAGCCGATCGCAGCGCATGCGGTCAGGCCAGGCAAAGCCGTACTGGCGCATGAGCGGCGCGCAGCCGGCCTTGGCGCGTTCACACACAGAGCGACAAGGCGGCAGAGGTTTCTTGTAGTCCTCCAGGCAGATGGGCGTGTACATGCTACACAGAAAGAACTTGAGGTCCGAGGAGCACCGGATCTCGACCAGCGGCCAGAACTGGTGCACCTCTAGGCCCGCCTCATCTTGCGTGTCGTGGTTGAACTGGTTGGGCATGTAGGTGTAGTTGTAACCGATGCCCTTGCACAGCGGCACCGTGATCTCTTGGCACGCCAGCTCCTTGGCCGAAGCCGCGGCAGCGCCGCTAGAGCGCTGTAGCACCGCCAAGGCGGCTAGCAGCGAGGTCACTTCCAACAGGTAACCCCACTCCATGCTGCGCGCCGGGACCACACGTCCTCCTTCTCTAGGCGGCGCGCAGAAGGGCTCCACGGTGAGGAACCTGAGAGAGAGCAGGCGACCAGAGGGTCTTGTCCCGCTTTTCTCTGCGGAGAGGAGAATGCCAACAATCTATCTCCTTTTCAGGCAGAGACTGTGGCAGCAGGGTCGGAAACCTAGGCAGGAGTCGTCCGGCCCTCCCCCACGCCTCTCCTGGGGTGACCGCAGACGCGCCACAATTCCACAGGGTCTGTCCCGCGCCCTCTGAGTCGCACTCAGCCCTCCCGGAGAGGAGTGGTGGCCCCCGGGCTCATCCTCCTGAGCTCGTGTAGGTCCTCCTGCACGCTCAGACACTTCGTGTGGCTCCCAGCAGCGAAGGTTCGGAGGGCGGCGAGCCGCAAGTTTCCTTTCTGGCCTCAGTCAAGATGGCTGTGTCTGGCCTTTAGACTCCCGGGTCAGACCCAGCGGCCCCTCTTCGGGCCCCGAGGGTTCACGTCCGTTCCAGGCCGCGGCGCCACTGCCAGAGTTCCGGGCCCTCCGCTGGTCAGGCCGCTGCCTTCTCACTCCTGCGTCGGTCCTCCTTGCATCTGCCGCCACCAAAAGTCCGCGCCGCGTTCTGACCACAATCGGGCGGGGTGCAGGACGTGCTTTCTTACTAGACGGACAAACAAATCCAGAGCAAAAGACAGAGGGGATACCTGAGCACCGTGGTCCCAGCCTCCGCCTCCTCCGCAGGAGCCGAGCCCTTTGCCCAACTTCCCGGCTTTAGTCAGCTAGCGCCTCCAGGCCGGCTCATGAATATTTATACAGTCTGCACTTGGTCTCCTCCCTCTTCTGGGTTCACCAATCCCTGCGCAACAGGGCGGAGTATCTGCGTTCTCAAAGCTCAGCCTTCCTTAAGGAAGTCCGTAGTTTTGGGATTGCATTCCTAGCTTTGGGCGGATGGAGAGTTTGTTTTTGGTCACCATGGGGTTGACCACACGGATTGAGCAGTTACTCAGGCTGTCCCCAAAGAGCTCAGCGCTTCAGAGATCTTGGTCGCATTTCTCCGAATCAGCTCCTGGGATCTAGGACAGTGTTTTTGTAGTGAGTGCACTTCCCGGGGCTCTCTGAATCAGTCTCATTTGTTCCACAGACAATACCTGCTGGTTCTAGATGGTCTTGGAAGCACAGTCAAGGCTCCAAGGTTGGTCCAGAGCTAGGGTAATTCAGGGAGAGATTTCCTGTTGATATTCTCATAACGAGAGCTTTTCAGACTTGGTGATTTGGTGATAGAAGTGAGACTTTTAGCATAACGAGGGCTTTTCAGACTTGGTGATTTGGTGATAGAAGTGAGACTTTTATTTCGGCTAGATCACCAGGTTTGGCTACGACTGCTTGGGAGCCATTTCTGCATGCTACGAGTGAGGTACAAAAGTGTCCACTGCTGCATGGCCTGTGGCACTTCAATTCTTCATCTAAAAGCAGGAGTGATCAAGCCAGATGCCATTGGGGAGGTTGATTTTAGGATGGGATAACATATATGAAACACGTAGACACTGTTTTTCCTTTCTGACACAAACATAAGCTTATCAATAAGACACATTGACAACTACTATTGCATTCCCTATCCACGTGTTACTTTTAAGACATACATGTACTCTTCTACATAAAAACTTAACATATGTTTTTGTCTGTGCCTTCTTTTCTTCTGTGAGAGGCAGGGCTGCCTGTTGTACTGAATACCCCAAACCAGAGGAGCCTTCAGCTGTTGCCAGCTCTTTCTGCGTCCACCTTAAGTAGGGAGGAGGGTGTGAGAGGCCAGGGCCTGGCAGGTTCATTTACGCATGTTAGGACGTCCCAGGGGGTTGTCTTTCTCCTAGAATGAAGTGTTTATTTTTTAATTGATGTGCTGTTTCATTTAGCGCTTGTATGGAATTCATGCTGCGGCTGTAATTACTGTAATCTCGGGAATAAGCATTTCAGATAGCTAAGAGGGTGGGCAGGCACTCCAGCGGCCTCCCTCTCCCTCTCCATTTCTCCCTCCCTCTCTCCCTCCCCCCTCTTCACCCCCACTCTCTCCCTTCCTCCCTCTTCTCCTCTACCCTTTCCCCCTTTCCACCCTTTCTTTTTGTTTCAAGATTTTTGCTCTTTGTCAGATTTTGTACCAGAAACAAGTGGAACTGAAGAACAGAAGTTGGTCAGGGAGTAGGGAAAGAGGCGACTGCAGGTACACTCTAGGCTGTGCAGGTTTTTAAGTGGTGGAGTGGTGGTGGTAGGGGGCAAGATAGCAGTTATCTTCATTAAAACAACCTTGTGGTAAAACAAAATTAGCAACCTTGGTGTATCGTGAGTTAAAGCACTCTGTCTTCCTCCTGTTCGCAGCAGTTCAGTACAACAGCCTCCTAGGAACAGTGCCTTCTGTAGACCCACAGGAGACTGTCCCTTCAGTTCCCCCCCCCCCCCCCCATGCAGGTTTTTGACATTCCGTCCAAGACTGCTGGGTTAATAGATACACCCACCATCTTTTTATTTGTTTATCACTTTAAAGTTGAAATCCACCTAGCAGCCTCTTTATAGTGAAGGCAATACGTCCTACTCTTGGAAACAAGACCTAAAACTCCTTAGAATCCGGAATTCAACGCTTCCGTGAAGTTAGCTGATTCAGCAGAAAACGGGCCGGGAGAATAAGCCAAGTTGGCCTTTACTTTGCTGTTTGCTTTTCAGTCGATCTTCCCTCCATCCGAGTTCCGGTGTGTGAGTTCGAACATGTAAAGTCACCCTATATCTGCTTTTCCTGGGTACATACAGGGCTGTCCCTCCACTTTACAGGGCCCTACACTGATCCTGGGGTACTTGGGCGATCAAGGGAGGCAGAGCCTCTAGATGACAGCGCAGGAAGCCAGCCGCTATCCACTCTCAACCTCCCCCAAAACCGCAGGTGGGAGGAGCCAACTTTCCAAAAGCTACACAAGTGGCAAAGTTTCTACTGTTTTTCTTCAGTAGGGAAATGTCAGATATTAAAGTTTAGAATTACAGTATATAAATTGAAAAGTTAGGTTAAACAAACTGACATTTGAAAACTGAGGCTGAAAATAGTTGATTTTGGTTTTTAATTGGCATTAAAAATTTTTAGAGACAAAATGAATCTTGAGGATGTGGAATGTGGAAAGTTTGGGTAAGAATATTAAATTCACATGAAATAACAAGCAGACAGAAGTTCAGACTTTCCAAAACCATGGGGGATTTGGAGATGACGGCTTGGAGACATCAAGTCACATGTAAAAATTAACTGAAACTTACTTTTGAGAAAATACAACAATAACATTGAATACTACTGTTAAAGGGCTACTTATTATTTCAGGTAGGAATATAAGAAACCAAAATCATTACACACATAAGTAAGAAAATTGATTTTTTTTTAAAAAAGTAAACCAGCTATCTTTTAGGGGTAGAAAATAGTTTTAGGAGAGGAGATAGAAAGTTCAAGTTACTTGTCCTTTACAAAACATTAACTTTCTGTCACTATTACTGTGGTGGTAGTTTGGGGACAAGTTCCTAAGTTCCTGTTGTCAATTTCCAGCACTTCAAAACAAAGCAAAAAAAAATGTTTCCATTTAATGCGTACTGGACATGCAGACAACCCATTAAAGTAAGAATGGGTTCTCTTGTCCTATGGTTTTCTGGTAAATCGACTACAGGGAGTATGTGGCCAAACCTCAAAAGACAGAAAAGAAGGGGCCTCCACAATTCTCTTTAACCTTTTGTTCCCATTGAACTGAAAGCTTTTTAAGTATGCCCGTTTGTGTACATTTTATATCCCAATGTTAGCAAAAGTAAAAGGCACACATTTACCTCTGGAGCAGAAAGGCTTAGAAAATAGGGAATATACTTGAGATTTTCAAGAGTGATATAAGCATTTCTGGGAAAATGACAAGAGGATGCTGCTTCATGGTGGAGCACCTGCCCAGCACACTCAGCACGCTGAGTTTAACACCCAATTCCATAAAACAAGGGACTGGATGCAGATAGTTTGTTTAGCATGCATGTGCTCTATACTACACCTGCTACTGCATGCTACTTGTCATGCTCATTCCTATAATTTTAGCATGGTGAGGAGGGTCAGAGGGTCAGAAATTCAAGATCAGTCTTAACTACTTAACTACTGGAAGCCAGGCTTGGGTACCTGAGTCCCTGTCTTGAAATAATACAAAACACAAGTAAATCTTGACATAAGAAAGCACCTAAAATATATCAATAAAATGATACGTTCCAAAGCGTATATGCTAAACTACTTTATAGCTAATGAAATGTCTCAGGTTATAATAATACAGATTGTTTCTTTTGAAAACTTACTTTCCTTCAGAAAAAGTGATGAAGCATTATGGGAGATATTGTGGTATGTCTAAATTATGTCTTTCTAAGGACACTATCTTCATTCCTCCATAAATAGAGGAATAATTGGGATCAACTGGTCTTACCTCAATCTATGGTTAAATCAACAGGAGTGTTGTTAGGTCCCCAGTGTGCCCAAACACCTGCACATTAAAGATTTGGACACTACCATGATTTTATTGATAGGCAGGGGATGCTTTAGGAGATTGGGCCTGGTATAAGCAAGTTAGATCTTTGGGGTGGTGTGGTCTTGAAGAGGATATTGAGAGCCCAGTGTCTTCTCTCTTTCCTTTGTCTTCTTCTACACCACTGTGAGGTGCTCCTTTCTAGCACACACTCCATGCTGTTCTGTGCAACCTTGCCTTATAGGCCCACCCATCAGGACCAACCAGTTATGGACTCGAATCTCTGACTCTAGTCAAAGTAAATGTTTCCTCTCTTTAAAGCTGATGCATGTTACTGTAGTACACGAAGCTGGACAATATAAAAGGATTGCTTAAATTTTTTTATTTCTTCTATATTCACAAACTCTCCTAAGGGTTTTTGCCCTCTATTTTCTCCACCTCTACAGAGAGCCCTGTAGGAGGAAGTGCTCTCAGAGTGTCTGCTGTGATAAGGTCCATGTGAAGGATGTGTCAGTTTCTGGGTGGAGCATGTACAGCCTCAGTGCTCACTTTGCAATTACATTCCCATTTTGGAACGGAGATGACACTGTCACTGAGTGACTTTATAACTACTCTAGGATGTGGCTCAAGAGACAATTCATGATTCTTTTTGTCACAGATAATAAAGTGGCCAGGTGTATCTTATGAAAGTGCATGCATTCGTTTGGAGGATTTGAGGTGCTGTACAGAGCGAAGAAAAACTGACTTGGGCAAAAAAGGTAGTTCAGATTTCTGTAAACACGGACAGAAGAATCTCACCATTGGTTCCTTAAGTAATTCACAGATGTCAGGGCTGGTATCCAGCTTGTTGGCTTCCCATGGAGTTTATTGTCAAACTTCAAATGACATCAGCCAGGACAGATTTTTGATGTGGGAGGGAATACCTCCCTAGAAGGAAACACTCTTCTAAAACCAGAAAATCCTCCTTAGAGTGCTGTTTCCCCAGTGCCAGGGCCAGTTTTAGCTGCAAGAGGAATAAAAGTGAGGAGTCTCACAAGTGCCTCATGACATTGGGATCTGGTGACAAGAGAAAAAGGGAAAGCTAATATTCTATATATCTCAATATCAAACTATGAGTTTTGAAGGGTGGGGAGATGGCTCAGTTGGCAAAATGTCTCCTGTAAAAGCATAAGCACTTGAGTACATGTCTGAAAGCTCCCATATAAAAGCTAGGTAGGGGCAGCCAGAGAGCAGAGGTGGGTAGGTCCCTGAAGTTCATTGAC